GCTCCTGAGGCGCAGTCATGCTAACCTTTAATGCTGTTTCTGTGCTGTCACTCGGCCTGTGGGAGCTGGTGTGCAGCAGGAGTCCGTGTAACATCCACAGTCCTGTGATTCAGCATCAAGCTGAACTTTTGAAAGCACCGGTGTTGTGTTAGGGTTAGTGTTTCATTACTGCTGACATTTTCCATCCATTTCAGCAGCAACACTGAAAAATCTGTGTTTTTATTTAATATACTCAGAAAAATAAAAGTATAAGCGTGGAAGATGTTTTTAACTGTGGCTTTGAAGATGTTATGGATGATTTGCATTAAAGCAGCAAAGCTCTGCCACAGGCGAGGCTCCATGTGGGCTGAAAGAAGCACACAAATGCACCTTCAGCAAGATTTAATGGAGGCAAAGAAAAGACAAGGCGATCCTTTCTGTGTGGGAAAAAATCAATGAAGAAGACAGTGCTGTGCCAAAGGGTCAAAGGTTGGGTCCTAAAATAAGCCCATCACCAATGCCTCCCTCTCAAAAAAGCAAGGTCAGCGCTCTCCAGGGCTTACCTCCAATCCTCTACAAGCCTTTGATTGGTCGCCTTTGTTACCTAGTAGGTACAATTTGTCGCTGTTATCAAGGCTTTGATCATGTAGCTGAAGGTGCTGCTGCTGATGGGGTTAATGATTCAGTGATATGTGACTGTAGAGGGTTAACGGGCTTGTAGATAATGCAGTTATTTGTAGATAAAACAGTTAACAGCATTAGGCAGAACATCATCTCAGTTAGTGGAGATAATGAGCCCCCTGTTCCCCGCAGCCTTTAGTTACACCAGGAGGAAGAAATGTTTGCAAGTTGATTAGGGTTTGATTTTATCTGTGGTGTCACAAATGCTCTCCATCCTTGTGATAATGCCCCTCTGTGTGCTGACCTTTCCTCCTGAGGGGGGCTCTGCTAAATTATTGTCATTTGTGAATCCTGTGCTTTGTGATTAAAATGACGCAGATTAATTTTGCTGCGGGCAAAGCTTTAAACGCTTGACTCACGGAGAACTTTGAAGTGATGGCGAGCTTCAAATTTAAATATATAAAGAGGCTCATAATCAACAAACGAGGGGACGTGTTAGACTTTCTGCATTCATCGAGGATAACGACGCACCGCACCAACTCATCTTTAATCAGAGGCGCATCTTTTGCACCAGCTGTGTTTACATGAAGCTGACTCACTGAGGACGAGTGATGCTTTTGGGTGGAAAGTCCACCCCCACGTTAGGCTTAAAGATGTGTAGAGGAAAAAAGTCAAATATGCAGCATCTGTTTATTGTATGGAAATGGCCCATAAAAGAGCTGCAGTTGAGGCAGGCCTCCTCTTTACTGGGGAAACAAGATGCCCACAGAGGTAACCTGCAGAACACTTTGTTACCTTTGATGTATTTTAGCTGCTGAAATAGTGAGTGAGTAATGTCAGGTGTTAAGAAGATGCGGCTTTTCAGCAGTGGATGATTAGTCCTCTTTCCCAGAAACAGTGGGTGCAGCGTTTGGTTGGAGTCGCTGGGTTTCCACAGCACGCTGTTCAGTCAGTCAGCTGACAATGAATCTGAGCCTCTTATCAAAAATCAAGAAGGCTGATAATAAACTCCAGCCACGAGCTGAACGGTTAATGAAAATAAGCCACGTCTGTCGGTGTTGGACTCTATTTCTTTATTTCACCACCAGCAGATATGTGAAACATCCAGAGCTTTACAGTTTTGATGTATTTGTCAGATTTGAAGGTGCCAAGTCTGGAGTTCCTTAAGTGGCCACTAGGAGCAGCAGAGTCCCTGCAGACTTCCGTGTTAAACAGTCTAACGCTGCTGAAATTATGCACAGCTGGCACAAAAGAACTTCTTTTAAAAATAAATTTTCTTTCGTATAATAAATAATAATATAATAAATAATAATATAATAAATATACAGTAGTTGGAATATTTCTCTTATACGTGGAAAGACTTAGAGTTGTGGGCGTGGCTTCTTTGACTGAACAGTGTGCTGACTGGTCGGTTTCCTTCAGTCTGGTCGTCATC